AAAAAAAAAAAAAAAAAAAAAAAAAAAAAAAGATTTTGACAACTCTGACTGTTGAAGTGTTTTATAACGGTTTGCTGCAGGGTTTTAGTCCGCCGCCTCAATTTCCTACAGTGGCTCCCACCTCCGAGGAGGGGCAGAATTATGCAGCAGCGCGTGGCGAAAATAGTCAGCCTCAACGGTGTGGGCCACCACCAGTGCACCTGCGGGACGCTCTCAAGTCTCAACTGGGACAGAATCGCGAATCGATGAATAATGGTAAGAACGATTCGCTGCTGGGTTATCGGCTGCCAGCGCACTTGCCCGCAGCTCTCAACTCCTCCAAAGTGGGGCAGAATCGTGCGGCAGTTATTTCAGATCAAAGACAGAAGATGATGGCTGAACCAGCAGCCGTCTCCGCAAAAGCCAGTGGTGGTAGTGGCGACAATCCAACGGCCGAAATCGCAGGGTTTCCGAAACGCCGCGAATCTGCTCTGTCCATCTTGACGGCGAAGCGATTGCAAGGAAGCAAGAACCTCAGCGCAATCCATATCACAGCTGCCAAGGACGCCGCGGGGTCGGCATGTGGAACTCTCGGCATCAGTAGCTCCCAACGAATGATGCAGCCGTCGCACCAGCAGCCAGAACCACTGCAGCCGCTCGTTGTGGGGCCTGCACTTGTTATGGATGAAATCAAGAAGAAGCGGAGGCTCGAGGCCACACCTGCAGCAAGTGCCTTCTCGTTCATCGGCAGCCCTGCAAGGAAGAAAGCCGAGAAGAAAGAGAGCGCTGACGCCAACGTTAACGGCGGGGTATCACTGAAAGAAACTTGTGTTGAAGTAGTGAAGAAGGATTCCAGCATGTTTCCCTCCAAGACTCCACCTCAGGCATGTATGAAGCAAAGTGGAGTTGGGACCAGGACTGGTACTGGTACTGGTACTGGTACTGGGACTGGGACTGGGACTGGGACTGGGGCAGCTGATGATCATGGACAATTGGGAGCTGGAGGTCCCAACATGTCCCAACATGTCCCGACGAGTCCCAGTTTGACCCAAGCTTCAAGCCAGGGGCCAAGATGTCAAAATGGGCCTGAGTTTGTGAAGGAGGTATGTCTCAGTCCGCTTCCTTCTCGGTTGTGGCTAACAAGTGGAGCTGTCATTGTGACGTTGTGCTTAGGGGAGAAGAAGGAGGGAGAAGTCCATGGTCAGATCTGCTTTTCTCCTTCTTCTTCTTTTTTTTTTTTTTTTTTTTTTTTTCGTTTTTTTTTTTTTTTTTTAAAAGAGGAGCGCCATCTATTCTTGGGGGGCAGCAGTCCACAGTCCGGTTGCTTATTACCAACAAACGGTCAGATCTGCTTTTCTTTTTTTTTCTTTTTTTTTCTTTTTTTTTCTTTTTTTTTCTCTTTTTTTAATTCCTTTTTTTTCTCTTTTTATTCTTTCTGCTTTTCTCCTTCTCCTTTTCGTGTGTGTCTGATTTGAGAAATAGAAGTCACTGGGGCGGCTGTGTGTACTCTCTGAGTCTGTGTAGTGTGTGTGTACAATGTGTGTACTCTGCAGCCAATCATGGTCTGATTTTTTTTTTTTTTTTAATCATGGTGCGATCCTAAGTGTGTGGGATGTTTAAATTATTTTCTTTGAATTTGGAAACAAATTTACTACCAGCTGGCAGCAGCCCAATTTTACTCGAGTGCTGGTTAACGAGGTCTTTGCCATCCTCCTCTGCAGCGGGCCGGGACATCGGAAGCATGCCCGCTGTGTTAGTGCCCGCAAAATGAGATGGAGGGAGGGAGGGCGGCAGTGATGGCTTAACCCATCAGTCCCCTCCCCGCTTGGAAATTTGAGGGACCATTAGCGCCTGCTGATGTCAACAACGGGAAAATCCGAACAAGGGGAATCCCAGGACGTATCTGTTTTTTGGGGGGCAATGACGATTGCTTGAAGTGGAAATTCTTACCAACGGGCCGATAGCTCAGTGTGCGTACACCAATGACCTGAGTTCGAATCCAGATGCAAAACGAAAATGACCAGGATAATCCTTCTGAAGTGCCCGGGGGCCGCTCCGTTTGATGATGATATCCAAGGGCTGTTGCCTTTAAAAAAAAAAACAAAAAAACATTCTGGGCTATGGGTAGCAGCAGGGAACAAAATCTGGAAAAACAAATCATGAAAGTGAAAGAGTGCACTCATTTGCAACGAGAATTTGTCCTGCCTCCACCTCTTTTTTTTTTCCCCTGAAAATATCAAACATCAAAAGATGCAAAACCAAGTCTACTGGCATGAATTTTTTTTTTTTTTTTTTTTTTTTTTTTTTGTGCACATTATGCTGTCTGTGGAAAATGCCCAACGTTGGCACACTCGTCTCTGTACCCAACTGCCGCCACCCTCCACACATTGCACCGCATATCAATTTCTGAGCGGCCGGCGGTCTGGAATCTGGATGGATTAAAGTTATCATTAAACCAAAATTACTTTGCCCAGATAAACCTACATTCCCACGGCATTTCATCATGAACGAATTTGTCCTTGCGCGGCAGGCCTTTACATCCCAGTGTGGTTTAAAAATTAAAAGTTAAATAATAAATATGTTTGTAGTATTTGTACTAACTTTGTACGGTTGTCAAAACGAAACTTTCATTCATCCGTTTGTTCAGGTGTCGAAACGAAACTTTCATTCAGCCGTTTGGATGGAGACTACGAGTAAATTACTAAATTTCAATGAAGGGAAAAATAATAAAATATTCAAAAATATTAAAATAAACTTTACCGAGAAGAGCCAAGCCAGATGGAG